TCCTGTCCCTTTTGGTGGCTCTGCACCCCCTGTAGATCTCCTGTCCCTTTTGGTGACTCTGCGCCCCCTGTAGATGTCCTGTCCCTTTTGGTGACTCTACGCCCCCTGTAGATGTCCTGTCCCTTTTGGTGGCTCTGCACCCCATGTAGATGTCCTGTCCCTTTTGGTGACTCTGCGCCCCCTGTAGATGTCCTGTCCCTTTTGGTGACTCTACGCCCCCTGTAGATGTCCTGTCCCTTTTGGTGGCTCTGCGTTCCCTGTAGATCTCCTGTCCCTTTTGGTGACTCTACGCCCCCTGTAGATCTCCTGTCCCCTTTGGTGGCTCTGCAACCCCTGTAGATCTCCTGTCCCTTTTGGTGACTCTGCGCCCCCTGTAGATGTCCTGTCCCTTTTGGTGACTCTACGCCCCCTGTAGATGTCCTGTCCCTTTTGGTGGCTCTGCACCCCATGTAGATGTCCTGTCCCTTTTGGTGACTCTGCGCCCCCTGTAGATGTCCTGTCCCTTTTGGTGGCTCTGCGCCCCCTGTAGATGTCCTGTCCCTTTTGGTGGCTCTGCACCCCATGTAGATCTCCTGTCCCTTTTAGTGGCTCTGCACCCCCTGTAGATCTCCTGTCCCCTTTGGTGGCTCTGCACCCCCTGTAGATCTCTTTGCTGCCTTCTGTCCCCTTTGGTGGCTCTGCATCCCCTGTAGATCTCCTGGTTGCCTTCTGTTCCTTTTGGTTGAATCTGCGCCACCTGTAGATCTTCTGCTTGCCCTTTTTCCCCTTCGGTGGCCAAGTATCCTCTGTAGATCTCCTGGCTGCCTTTTGACCACTTTGGTGGCTCTGCATCCCCTGCAGATCTCCTAGTGGCTTTCTGTGCTATTTGCTGGCTTTGCAACCCCTCGAAGTCTCCTGGCTGCCTTCGGAACAGGACCACACAAAAAGTTGGCATGGTGTGGCTGTGACCACCCAGATAGTGGGCATGTCCAGTGTGGGCCATGGGTAGAGAAGTCCCAGGGCCTAAGACTAATGTGTTGGTAAGTGTGTCTTTACGGTCAGTTCTTTCACTCAGTGAGAAGTATTGATTCCTTGTAGCTGGTTCTCTTTACAGTCCTATAGAGTAGTATGTACGCTGACATTGTGTCTGTGTTATAGAATGGTCACATCATCCTATGACAAAACCGTCAAGTTCTGGGATCTGGAGACTGGGAAAGTTCTGGTATGTATAACTACGTATTGCCCACATTCACATCTTTCCATTCGTCTACCTGTAACATATTTGGTGCTCCAGATTTTATTTAATCTGTTATGTAAATTCTAACACTAAATCTCTCTTAATTGACCCATTTATGGTCTGTTTAATACATCATTGGAAAAAACTGTTGATCTTGTCATAAGTTGTCCTGTGTCCTCTACACACTTCCTGTGTTATCTCAAAGAGCCCTTCTAGTTCTTATCTTGGACTACAGAAAGCCTTCATGTTGTAGAGATTGTTGAGAGTGGTTGCATAGTTTAGCAAAAGACAACTAGACAGGGCTGACACCATTCAAAATATTATATATACAGTGTATATGTGCATACTGTGTATGTGTGTGTGTATATATATGTATGTGTATATATATATATATATACACACACATATATATATATATATATATATATATATATATATT